AATAGTTTCAAAGTCATCCAGATTTAAAAATCAATAACTCTACTGCAGTTTCCTTCCTTTTCAACTCTAAAGATTTCAAAATTTGTGTCTCTTGAAGGCCGCCAGCTTATATAAGCTAGAAGAAGAAAACCATGAAGCAGCGACATGCCTGGAGGACGTGGTTTACCGAGGCGACATGCTTCTGGAAAAGATTCAGAGTGCGCTCGCTGACATCGCGCAATCCCAGCTGAAGACGAGGAGTGGTTCCCACAGCCAGGCTCTTCCAGACTCTTAGCACCAGAAACCTGGTGGTGAAGCCAAGGACTATTTCAGCACATTATGAATTCTGCATCAGATTTTGATACAAGCCTTACCAACAGTTATGGAAACATACACTATAATACTTGTTACCTTTTTAGCTATTTTAATAATCTTCTATTTTCACTCTTGATAAATAAGCTTACAAAATTGTGATTGAACCAGCTTTAAACCATCACTATGCGGTCATTTTTTTATCTGAACGAAATTATTAAGGCAGTTATTGCATTAATGTTCATAATATAATTCAGATACACTATGAAGTTCTGTCTTCTTTTTTCTTGCATGTTGGGGCTGGAACCCAGGGTCTAGCACAAGCTAGGCAGGCTGTTTGCCATAGAGTTACACTCCAGCCTCAAGTTCTGTCTTATTTTTGCAGTCCTGTTATAATTCAAAACATCCCTCAAGCTAGAGGTGTGGGATATTTTGGCTTACACTGGGTTTCCTTCAGACACCTCTTAGGAGGGAGCATTGTACAAATACGGAGCTTTGAGCAAGTTTCTCAAGCTGTTGCTTTTAAGAAACATCAGGAAGGTTAGTGTGGGTAGAGAGGAAGTCATTTATGCAAACCTTTTGTCTTCCAGAACCTCATATCTATTCTCGTTTATCTCTACTTTGCTTTTGCTTAAAAATTACCTTGTCTTTAGAATTTTCATGCTATTGTGAGAATTTTTCTTTATCCTGAACTTTTAAAAAACTTTATTCTCTTGTTTCTTTTTGTGTTATTGGGGATTGAACCCGGGGCCTTTGCCCCAGCCCTTTTTTTATTTTGAGGCAGGGTCTTAAGTCACTGAGTTGCCCAGGCTGGGTTCAAACTTGTGATCCTTCTGCCTCAGCCTGCCAGAGTATTGGGATTATGGGCGTGTGCCACTACACTCAGTTAAATACTCCTTTAACTGCTTTTCTCTGTCCTTCCTCATTTGCTTGTTATCACAGTGAAGTATGTTTCCTGAATCATCAGTTCCTTCTCATTGTCTTTTAAGACTGTTTTCTGATCTCACTAACCTCTCAAACTTTTTGCTGTATTCTAATGAAACCAGAACATACTTCCGTTACATCAACCACTTCTGTACTGAGTTCTCCAGTCCTCTCAGTTTTATTGCTAACAGTTGTGTCCGCTTCATCACCTATACTCATCCAACTCGTGGGTCTCTCCGCTTATCTCCACTGGAAAGCTCAAGTTGCACACCATCATTGGTTCTCTCTCCTAAAGTGCTTTTCTCATAATATTCGGAGCTACTCTTGCCAGTCTGCTGTTTAGTGTTTACGTCTCTGAAGAACCGTAAAAAAGAGCAGAGCACTGGGAACCGAAGGCAAGAGGATCACAAGTTTGAGCCCAACCTGGGCAGCTTAGTGATTTCACAAGACTGTCTCAAAACACAAAATTTAATAAAAGGGCTGAGGATGTAGGTCATTGAAAAGGCCCTGGGTTCAGCCCTCAATACCTCAATACCAGAAAAACTAGCAAAAAAGAACAGTAGAGCATTTTGTGTATTGTTTCCTTCATAAACCACCCTGCAGTCCTTGAGATTGTTGCAAAGTTCAGGAGCACCGGCTTTAGCTACAAAAGTTGCAGCAGTTTGTTGGCTAGGCTTATATTTTTGAACTTTTACATTTTTTAACACGTACTGTCATTGAAGTTTAAGAACACTTTGCTATCACAGCTGTTTGGCCTAAATCTGTACCTTTCATTGGAGTAGTTATTGGAGCCGAGCATATTGGATCAGAGAACTGTGTTTAGAAGTATAGAAGGTGTAACAAAAGATCCAGAAAGGTACTAAAGAGAAGGAAAAATCACTGTCCGCTAGATTCAAGGAAGGCTTAATCCAGAGAAATCCAAAACCTAGGAAGGGGGAACATTTCCCACCGTGGTTGTTGAAGCTGGGTCCCAACGCAGTAAAACAAATCCCCATTGCCTTTTTTTTTAAACTCTATTCACTGCTTTGCATGAGTGTAGCCACTGTTGGTAGGAGCGTGCAGCATCGCTGGGGACCAGGTCTCAGCGGTGTAGCTGGAGGACTGAGTGAGCCCCAGAGAACTAGGAAGTACCGGCAGGTTGAGAGGCAGGAACTTGGGTGAGTGAATCCTTAAAGCTGCTTATGAGCACCTCCACCCTCAGGCCACATGCGTGTGGCTGTACTCTAAACAGCATACAAAAATTGTGAGGAATGAGGGGAGAGGCAGCTGGCTCTGGGTGGCGCACGCAGGAGACATCTGAATAGTATGATAAAGGTTTTGAAAGTTGCACTTAAACCCAGAAACACAACCCACCTTGCAGTGCTTAAAATTTGTGGCCTGAACCCAACATAGGTGATTGCCTGCTAAAACCAACAAAGAGTTTAAATTGTGTGTAGGATAAAACAAGACCCAGAAGTTCATATATTCAAACTGTCCGGAATATAATCCAAAGTTGCTTGGCATACAAATAACTGGAAAAAAAATCTCAGAATTAGCAAGCATAGGAAAAGACAACTGGCCAATGTCACAGACCCAGATTATGAACAGACTTCCCCGCCCCCCCCCAACAGATTTTTTTGTTGTTTTTTTGAGATAGCCTCACTATGTAGTTCAGGCTGGCCTTGAACTCACTATGTAGCCCAGGCTGACCTCGAACTCACAGTGATCCTCCTGTAGGGAAATAATGATTAAAAGACAGGCATATTTCTCACCAGAAACTGAAGGTCAGGAAGCCAGAAGATAGGGCATGTTACGCGGATGGGGCACAGGTCTCAAATAGTTAACCTGGAGTAAACTAAGTCGGGTTTAAGGCAGTTAACGTCCCAAAGGGCACCAGTAGTTAACTTAAGCCAGCCACCATCCCGGCCTAATGGGATGCAAGGGGCAAAGAACAGGTCCTTAACTGGATGAGAAACCCTGCAAGAAGTGAACTGCAAGCTAAGCAGCTTGCTTTCTATTCATGGAAGGGCTCCCTGCACCCAGGAGCACCCCTGCTTCCTGTCAGGTATGCTAGTCCCCAGAACTATAAAGGCCAATGGACCTGAACATCCAAGGTTTTACCCCTCCTCAGCAAGAGGGGAGCTCTTTCTCTTTTACTCTTTCGAATAAACACATTTGGCCTCTCCCCACCACTTGCTGCTTGCTGTTTTGTTGGCTTCAGTCTTGGTTGCCCCCAAACAAGGACCCACTAGCTAGAGGGAGCTGCTCATAGTCAAAGGTAGGAGAACATTTAAGGGATAAAAAAAAAAGCAAAACTTGAGCTGGGCGTGGTGGCACCTACCTGTAATCCAAGCACTTGGGAGGACTGTTGTGAGTTCAAGGCCAGCCTGGTCTACAAAGTGAGCTCAAGCTCAGCCTGAACTGCAGAGTGCAACCCTGTCTCAAAAAGACCAAAAAAAAAAAAAAAAGCAAAATTTGTCAACTCAGAAACATCCAGGAATAATGAAGGTGAAATCAAGACATTTTTTTCAGATGAAGGAAAACCAACAATTCATTACCAGCTGACCTGCTCTAAAAGAACTGTGAAAGCAGCTTTTCAGATGGAAGGGAAATGGGACAGCAGGAGGAGCAGGAATGAAGAATGCATGACTTCTCGAGGGTTTAAAAATTAACCTTGAATGGTTGATAGAAAAAAATTTGCATCATTTCATATGATTCTCAGTCTATGTAAAGACAAGAGAATTAAGTTAATCTAAATGGTAAGATTTTTTTAAAATTTTATTTTTAGAGTTAAACAAAACCTGTTAACAAACACACAGACATAAACAAAACAACATAAAAACAATACAGAATTTCAGATGGTGAAAAATTAATAATGGTTCTTGTATGTTGCTATCTCCATATTGGTTACTCAGATAAACAAATACAGACATGCAAGAGTGATCAAACAATTCAGTATCAATGGTTCCTTTCAAGAAAGCAATAGAAATTAATAGTACAATTACGCCAGCCATCTTACATATATATATATTTTCCCCTTTCTTCTTTATTTTCTCCTTTACCTCATCCCAGTCTTTCTTTCCTTTTGAGCAGTTTCTCTTTCTCACTATTGTACCTTTTAAATTTCATTTACTCTTTCAGGTTCTTATTCTAGGGAGGCAATGCAATGTTTACATATGTGAGTCTTATTTATTTCACTTACGAGTATGGTCTCTAGTGGCGACTATTTACGTGTAAAAGCCTCGCGTTTATCTTTCTTTATAGCTTTCCAAGATAGCTGAGAAATATTCCATTATACAAAAATACCACAGCTTTTTTATCCTAAATGGTAAGATTTCTACATACCACTTTGATTCACTTTCTGGTGCTGAGGATTGAACCTAAGGCCTTGCACATGTTGTGTGTCTCCTACCACTGAGCACGTATTTTTTTAAACGGTAAAAAATATTAATACTCGTGGACTATGAGTATTTGTTTAATCCTTAGAGCAATGACTTAAAAATACAAGATTTTTTTTTAAAAAAAGGATCTAGTAACGCAACAGGACAGTAAAAAATGAACACAGAGAAGAGAGAAACAAAATAGACAAATGATAAGATAGCAGCTCTAAATTCTGTTCCAACAGCCCAATAATTATGTTAAACGTAAATGTTGTAAACCAGTCTAAATCTAGAAGTTAGAGAATGCCTAGCGTTCTCTTTTGTGGTACCTAAAGTCTAGCCTTTAGTCACAAGAACTAATATTGCTGTTTTGTTTTTCCTTATATAAGTCAAGTTTAATAGCTTAGGGGGCACCATGATGGATGAACCAACTCCAAGATTTCTGTAGGTGAAACCACCTTGATTACTGCCCTGGCCTGGATGCCAGTGATAGTACCCAGACTGTCTTCATCTCCGGAAGCTCCATTCTCCTTGTCTTTTGTCTGTCTATTCCCATCATCCCCACTGATGTGTGGGTTTTTGTAGCAGTCCTGGGGATGGACCGCAAGTTCAATGGATTGCTACACAAGTTCCCTACCACTGCATTACTCTCCCAGCCCTTTTTATTTTCTGCAACAGGATCTCAGTAAGTTGCTTAGGCTGGCCTGGAACTTGTGATCCTCCTGCCTCAGGCTCCCAAGTAGCTGAGATTACACTTGTATACCACCAAGCCCAACCGTCTCCTTGGATTTTAAGAAGCCAGTTTCAAAGAGAACATCATTTACTACCCTTCCTGATCTGCCCAAAATGCTGTTAGGTCTTTCCAAGATAATATGAGTCCCTCCACCAGTGCTTTTAACAAACCTCAGGAAGAGAGTGTTTTCTGAATCCATCCGGAAGATGTAGGGTGTAAGTCATACAAATGAATTCACTCCATTTCTGCCTCTTTGAGTCTTTGGATGCCCTTCTCTGAATATCAAAGAGTTATGGACATCTCACTTGCATTTAAGTCAACCTTGTGTCTGGATTTGGTTAACTGAGTA